AAATTCATATTACAAAAGTATTGTTTACATAATCAGATTGATTGATCTTTAATCAACTGACTAGGATTTATTCTTTAAAAACTAGCACTTCGATCTTCTCCTATTAGAAATTATTAATCTGATTAATTTTATGAAATTTTTTGTCATATTTAGTTTATCACGTTTTTGTCGATAATTTTTCTAGAATATTCTAAATCGTTCATATGTACATTTTGATAATCGTTGAAAATATTTAATTATTTCTTTCCAACAAGAATCTTGTTAATAATTTATTACTGCAGCTATTGAGTATGAAAAACGTCTTTGTTCAGCTAAAACTCGTTCTGTTTCACCTTTTTTTTGTTTCATGAAATTGTGTAGAAATAACAACAAGACAAAGATTCATCATAAAAAATGAACCAATAATAATAAGACATACAAAATAAATCCAATTGCAAAATGAATGTGCATCTTGTATATAATACATTATATTAATCCAATTTTCAAAAGTAATTATCTAATTAAATAGAAAAAAATGAACATAGAAATATTTAATGAATTAATAAATAAGAAACGAACCTGAAAGATAGCAAGCCATGCTGAAATAATATTATCGAAATTAATCAATCCAGAAAATGGATTCTTATTAGAAATAGTACATAATTGATAATATTGATTTCAATTAATACATCTATTTATTGTTTTATTTGTTAATAATAAAGTCAATGAATGAAAATCAAGTTCACATATCATATTATCTCGACGAGATTGTAGAATTTCTGAACATTTTGTCATTTCACTTGATGATGGATCAAAACAAATAAATGAATCTTGATCAGGAGGAATATAAAAAGATTGAAGAGGAAAATCACTTCAAACAAAGAAAAATAAATAAAAACGAAATATTTAATTTTCGATAAACATACTCGAATAATGCATAATTATCTGTAATCGTAGTATTCAATTGTAAAAAACAACGATTACGTTAATAATCCTTTCCATAATTGTACACCAATAACACCAAAAATGAAAAAGATAAAAAACAGAGAAGAAATACATTGCCAAGCATACGTAATGTATCAAGTAGAAGCATAACAAGAATACGCACCGATGGTACACGCTTAATGGCACGTAATGGACAAAGTACTCGAGCTGTACGAATAGCTGATAGATTTAAATTATCACCTGGTATCAACAATTTCACTAATCTAAATGTTAACAATTAATAACATCTCATTTTCATCTTTACACTTTATTCTCTCTTGTAGATCCGAAATATTCATTTCAAAAGAATCAATCTTACTGTAAAAATTATTTTTAATATGCCACGATGAAACATTAAAATTGGAACTTGAAAGCATAGTTTAGAAAGAATTTTAAAAGATCTTTGACAGTGTTAACTTTCAAAATATCTCTTATTGATAACTACTGAAAAAATTCAAACATTAAAAGCTCTCAAATGATTTCAAACAAAAAGAAATTCTTTTTAAGTCCGGCATAAAATATGTTTGTCACTTTCAATGATCTTCATAGTTAAACTCGTTAAATTTTTGATCAATTTTGTTAAAGAAAATTTTAGTTTTTTTTGTTCAAAACAAAAGTTGGTATGATCATACTCGCTAAGAACAATAAAACAATCAAGTCGATTCTATGACTCATCAAGATAAGTTCCTTTACCAAATATTCCCATTGCTGTCATTTTAATACACATTTCAATTGTAAAAAATGCAAAAACAAAATAATCGGTTACTTGTGGCCAAATACAAAGTGCTATACCACATTTTTTCGATGACTCTATATTAGTATCATGTGCACATGGTTGATACATACCAAGTGTAATACAATTAAGCAAAATAACGAATATACTTATACGTTCAAATCATGGCCATGTTATAAGTTTTAAACATTGATAACGTGGTTGTGTTGTTTGTCGAAGCCAATAAAAAGCTTTTTCAACAAAACCTGGAAATGGTAATTTATTTTCATCTTTTTATTTAAGATTACATGTATCTGGTAAATCGGATAAAATATTTGATGAATCATGTTCATTAAGAAAACAATCAGTTTCATCTATATGTGAATCATTATTTGAGATATTAACAACTGTTGGTAATGATGTATGAAAAATGTTTTTATTTATCATATTAATATTGTTATTATTATTTGTCGTTGTCAAATGATATTTATCCATGATCGATCAATGACAGTTACTACATGATCGAAATAGAATAGAAGGTAACGTAACGATGACCAGCATCGACAAGCACCTAGAAATTAAGAAAGCATTATTTATATTTAACATTAACAAACTAGATCTATGTTATCATCAATTGTTTCACATCTCATCAATTTCAAACTCAACTTTTCAATGTAGATATATTTCGACATAATGTTCATCAAATTATAAAAAATGATATGTATATGCAAGGTGTTCTAAAAGTTCGAACAAAAAATAAATTCCTATAACTCCACTATTTATCAAACTTAATCAACTAATTTTGTTTTTTTTTATTCAAATGATATACAACCATGAATCTTTTGATGCTTCAAATTCTCGCGTATTTTGTTGCGTTTAGATTGGCCAGATCTTGTGCTATTGTTTATATGCTTATGCTTTGATATCCCATTACAAAAAAAGCCTAATTTTGTCAGATCCGGCAATTTTGAAGTCCATGAGACTGATTCACTGCTTTCGGTTCATCATTCATCGTTCAAAAATATAGCATAATCTCATGGGCTTTATGATTGTTGGATCTGACAAGATTAGGCTTCTTTTTGTAGTGGCACATCAAAACAAAGATATACAAATGATAGCTCAAGATCTAGCCAATCTAAACGCAACAAAAGACTCAAGAACTTGAAGCATCACAAGAGAAATGCTGCGTAGTATTTTTCTTTGAAATCGACAAAAGACTGATTGTTACATAAATAAAAGCTTCATAATGATACCCATCATTGGAATAAAAAAATTAGTTGATTAAGTTTGATAAATAGTGGAGTTATAGGAAATTACTTTTCGTTCGAACTTTTGAGATACTCTGTACATTCGTAGTTACCGTTCGATAATACTCAAGAACGATTGGAGTCAAAAAAAAAGCACTAGTCAATGCACTAGATATCATTTAAATGAATGCCAAAAATTAAAAATAATGTGAAGATAAATACATTGTTTATCCTCTTTTATGACAGTGTTCACTGATGCATAGATAACTTTTCTTTCATCTTGATGAAAAAAGCAAGCAGTCAGATACAAGAGTCCGTAGATAATGTTTTTTTTCTCGTCTCTCACAAAACCAAGGTTACCTCTAATTAATATGTGAAGTGAGAACAAATAGCATACTTTTGTCAGCTCTATTACATTAACGAAACATGTGTAGGTAATCAGATGTGAGAGCATGTACACATACATTTTTCGCCTTTCGTCGTACACGAAATCATTGCTTATTGATATTTTCTAACGTATGAAGAGACGATCAACGACGCATGTGCAAACTCTCTTGAGGATAAGGATTAGAGGTTTGAGGATGTTTAAATTTAATAAGTTAGCATTTTTCTTTATATAATAATAATAATAGGAGTAAAAATAATGATCAATTGCTTTTTTCAATAATATATTAATTTTTTTGCTTTTGAAATTTTTATTATTGATAAGAAATATAAAAATGATAAGAACAAGAATATTAAGAAAAAAATATTGTTATTTAAATAATAAGAAAAAAAGAATTTGAATAAGAAATTTATCGAATTTACCATTATCAAGTGATTTTCTGCAAAAAAGAATTTATCACGATGAAGTATGATCGGTACTTTAGCAAATAATGTACAAGATTAATTACAAAAAATGTAGAAAATTCATTGGTAGGATATGAGTGTATGGATAAGAAAGATTGGAAGTAAATCATTCGACATGTTTTCACAATCACTCAAGTTGTCAATGATCAGATGGTTTTTAATTCTGCTGTACTTGTTCAAATCATACCAAAAAGCGACTCATAAACAAAAGCTTGTTAGCACAGCCTTTTTGGAGCTGAGATGTGAAACTCACATATGTTCTCTGGCCTCATTAAACTAATACAAAATATGTGAAGAGAAAAGCTTCTTGTAGACTATAGTTGTTTTGCAGGACAATCGAACATCAGATTAAGAACCTTTCTAATTTCCACATTTTAAACAGAAATTTTTTATTTCTTCTACAGAGGCCCTATTTTTTGTTTGCATTATTGCTAATCGTTCATTTTTCTTCATTTTTTAAATTCATTTTTTCTTAATTTAACATTCTTATTCTCTCGACTGTAAGGAGGGTCATATGAAATAAAATGCGTTTGTGTCTATGCATGTGTCAAGGTCAAAAAAACATTAGAGAAGAACTTTATTTAAGCGTAACTTCTTAAGTTTCACTAAAGGTAATTGAGATCGGGAAATTCGAATCTGAGGTCGAATTTTACATCCGACCTTCCCATTGGCTAGGACGCGAACCAATCTGAAATTAGCTTTGTTATTTTAAACGTCGGTAAAGTTAGCACCATATTCGACATTTTCTATCCGGATTCGCTATCTTACCTGAGTTGAGTCTCATATCCATGAGTTAGACGCAGAATTTTACGCTGAATCGAATGGTGCCACTTTCAAGGGGGGTCATCGGGCAACAAACTCCACTTACCCCCCAAATACTGGTTTTTCGACCCATTCTGACCAGTAATCCCTGTCCGGATTCGCTATCTTACCTGAGTTATGTCTCATATCTATGAGTTAGATGCAGAATTTTACGCTGAATCGAATGATGCCACTTTCAAGGCGGGTCATCGGACCAGAAAGCCCCTTACCCCCAAAATACTGGTTTTTCGACCCATTCTGCCCAGTAACCCATGTCCGGATTCCCTATCTTACCTGAGTTATGTCTCATATCCGTGAGTTAGGTGCAGAATTTTATGCTGAATCCAATAGTGCCACTTTCAAGGGCGGTCATCGGACAAAAAACCCCACTTACCCCTCAAATACCCGTCTTTTGAACCCATTCGACCCAGTAATCCCTGTTCGGATTCGCTATTTAACCTGAGTTATGTCTCATATCAATGAGTTAGATGCAGAATTTTATGCTGAATCTAATGGTACCATTTTCAAGGGGGGTCATCGGGCAAAAAACCGCTCTTACCCCCCAAATACTGGTTTTGTGTGGGCAAGTGGGGTTTTTGCCCGATGACCTCCCTTGAAAGTGGTACCATTGGATTCAGCATAAAATTCTGCATCTAACTCATGGATATGAGACATAACTCAGGTTAAATAGCGAATCCGGACAGGGATTACTGGGCAGAATGGATTAAAAAAACCAGTATTTGGAGGGTAAGAGGGGTTTTTTGCCCGATGACCCCCCTTGAAAATGGTACCATTGGATTCAGCATAGAATTCTGCACCTAACTCATGGATATGAGACTCAACTCAGGTAAGATAGCGAATCCAGACACGGATTACTGGGCCGAATTGGTTAAAAAACTAGTATTTGGGGGGGGGGGGGGGGGAGGGGGGTGTTTTGCCAGGGGGCCGCCGGAGAAGTGGGGTA